TCACGTGAAAGGAACCGTTTAAATGCTCCATTGGGCATTAAATCTAAGAAAACAGAGTTTCTTCGTCGCGGCTCACCAAGGAACTATGGTTCGTCTTCTGGTTCACGTGTTGCTGAGAAGAAGGACAAGAAGAAAGACAGTCAAGGGCGTGGAAGGAGGAGCAGACATCATGATCAAGATTCTGATGGTTTGATGGGATCCAAGAACCCATCAAAACGGTATCCATGAGGACACTCAGTTGGAACTGTCGAGGGATTGGAAACGACCTCACAGTTCGACGCCTTACGGAGATGTGTCAGAAGCATCGCCCAGGACTTGTGTTTCTTTCTGAGACGAAGAATAGGAGGCTGCTGTTGCAAGACATTCAGGCCGACTTAGGATTTGATCGCTTGTTTACCGTTGAGCCACTTGGCCACAGCGGTGGTTTAGCTTTGTTTTTTATGGATGAATTTCAAGTTAATGTACTTTTTTCAAATAACCGAATGATTGACATTGAGGCAGTCATTGATGGAATAAAAGTCTACATGACATTTGTTTATGGGGACCCTGTGCTAGAGAGACGAGATTTGGTATGGGAGTGTCTACGCGCTTCTCAACAACAAGAAATGGACCTTGGTTCATGATAGGAGATTTTAATGAAATTACATGTCATGCAGAGAAGGAAAGTGGCAGACAACGCTCTGATAGCTCATTTCTGCCCTTTAAACAGATGCTAAGTGATTGTGGTATGCTAGAGTTTCCTTATACAGGGAACATGCTATCTTGGGTTGGAAATAGAGCAGGGAGGACGACAGTTAGATGCCGACTGGATAGGGCTGTTGGGAATGAAAACTGGCATGAAAAATTCCCTCATTCAAAGGTTAAGTATATGAGACTTTGGGGATCGGATCATCGTCCGATACTAGCTGATATACTGAGAAAGAAACCTAGGAGAGCAAGGAATTTCAAATTCGATAAGAGATGGTTAGATAATGAGGAGCTCAGGCAAATTATTCTTGAGGGATGGAAGTCACCGGATATTCCACCAAACGCAAGTATAATGGAACACATTACAAGCTGCAGGCGAGCATTAAGCGAATGGAAAAGGCAGCATAATCTGAATTCAGAGAAAACGGTGGAGGAGCTAAAGGAAAAGGTCGATCGCTTATCCTCAAATGATGATGCCACTACTGAGGAAATTGCGGCAGCTATTAAGGAACTATCTGATGCCCTTAAGGCGGAGGAGATGTTCTGGAAACAGAAGTGTCGGATTTTCTGGTTGCGCGAGGGGGATAGGAATACAAAATTTTTTCATGCCCTTACAAAGCAAAGGAGAGCAAGGAATAGGATTACCCAATTACTGGATGAAGATGGAAATGTTGTGGAGGATGAGGAAGGATTGGTAGCCATTGCTACAAATTATTTTAGACACATCTTTCAATCCTCAAATCCTGAGGCAATAGAGGAAGCACTCTCTGAGGTATCTACCACGATTACCTCAGCAGATAATGCGACCTTAACATCCCCGGTCACTGAGTGGGAGGTTAAACTAGCTTTTTTTGCGATGCACCCAGAGAAAGCTCCAGGACCGGATGGAATGACGGCGTTGTTCTACCAGAAATTTTGGGATATTGTAAATGATGATCTAACTCTTATGGTTAATCGATTCATTTTCGAGGGAACGGTGCCATCTGGCCTAAATGACACTAACATATGTCTCATTCCAAAAGTGGAGAAGCCAAACCAGATGAGCCAGTTGCGCCCTATTAGCTTATGTAATGTTAGCTACAAGATTATCTCTAAGGTCATATGCCAGAGATTAAAGAAGTTTCTTCCAGATAGGATCTCAGAGACCCAGTCAGCCTTTGTTGCTGGGAGACAGATATCTGATAATATTATGATAGGAGTTGTTCCACGCCCTAAGAAAAAAACCGAGTGGCAGAAACAAGAGGATGGCTATCAAAACAGATATGAGTAAGGCCTATGATAGAATGGAATGGTCCTTCATTGAGGCCACCATGAGGAAGATGGGCTTTTCTGAGGTTTGGATAACTATGATAATGAGATGTGTAACTTCAGTAAAATACAAGGTCCTTATGAATGGACATCCAAGAGGGAATATTGTCCCGGAGAGAGGGCTACGACAAGGAGATCCTCTGTCCCCTTTCATTTTTATTCTGTGCACGGAAGCGCTCGTTAGCCTTCTAAATCACGCAGAGAATCAAGGGAAGATAACAGGGATGCGCATTACGCGTGCGTGTCCCTCTGTATCTCACCTTCTCTTTGCTGATGATAGTCTGTTTTTCTGTAAGGCGGAGCCCCGTGAATGTGAAGAAGTAATGAAGGTGGTCATGATGTATGGACAAGCTTCAGGACAATGCATAAATTTTGAGAAGTCTTCTTTACTCTTTGGTAAAAGAATCGGACAGGTTGTAAGACAAGAGATCAAAGACACACTTGGGATCCAAAATGAAGGAGGAATGGGGTCATATCTGGGTATACCAGAGGATATAAGTGGATCCAAATGTAAACTCTTTGCTTTCCTTAAGGACAAGCTGAGAAATAGAGTGAATGGATGGACTGGGAGATGGCTCTCTAAAGGCGGGAAAGAAGTGATGATAAAATCAATCCTGCTTGCCCTTCCGACGTATGTAATGTCTTGTTTCCTTCTCCCATTGGAGATTTGTGAGAATCTAGCCAGTGCCATTGCACAATTCTGGTGGAGCTCAAACCCACCAAAAAAGGGTATTCACTGGTCAACATGGGACAAATTATGCTTACCCAGAGATGAAGGTGGTATTGGTTTTAGGATGATTCATGAGTTTAACCTGGCGCTACTGGCAAAACAATTATGGCGACTGGTACAAAACCCAGATTCTTTGGTTGCTCGCGTCTTGAGAGGTCGATATTATAGATTGAGTACGCCTTTGCGTCAAATCAATACTAGCAGTCCCTCATATGTGTGGACAAGCATATCGGCAGGAAGAGAATTGCTACTGTTAGGAATTAGACAAAAAATTCATTCGGGGTATGAGGTTAAAGCTTGGGAGGACCCTTGGATTCCTACTATGCCTGCGAGACCGGCAATCCCTCTGGCACCGATTCTACATCCGAATATGCATGTAAGCGATTTGATTAACCAAACAACGAAGACTTGGGATGAAAGATGACTTCAGGATTACATTAGTGCGGATGACATTCCACTCATCAAGAGCATGGCTATTAGTTCCACACACCGACGAGATACGTACTGCTGGAGCTATACAAAGACTGGACAGTATACCGTTAAGTCTGGATACTGGGTAGCACGAAATATCTTGAGGAAGGAGGATGAAACTGAAGTATGTGAGCCTAGTATCACAAAGCTCCAAGCACATGCGTGGAAGGTCAGGGCTCCCCAAAAGATGTGCCATCTTATGTGGCAGGTGATTACAGGACATGTAGCTGTCACAAGCATTTTAAACTACATGCATATGAGGTGTGACAATCACTGTCCTCGATGTGGTGAGCCAGAGGAGACGATCACACATGCAATATTCGAATGCCCACCTGCGTTACAGGTTTGGGCGCTATCATCCACGCCTACCAATCCAGCTATGTTTCCAGTTCAAAGCACGTACGCGAATATGGATTATATGTTCTGGAGGAAGAATGCAATAATGGAGCCGGAATTGGATAGGGATCCTTATCCTTGGCTAATCTGGTACATTTGGAAGGCTAGGAATGATAAGTTATTCCGAGGCATTGATAGGGATCCATTGGAAGTGGCGCGTTACGCAGAGAAAGAATGCCAAGCATGGTTCCAAGCAAATGAGCAGGAAATACCGCCTCCTCTTGGGGATGGAATAGGTGAAGACCAGGTCTTAAGCTTGGGAAACATCTGCATGGTGGATGGATCTTGGACTTCAACGGACTCCTTCAGTGGATGTGGGTGGGTTTTGAATGATGCTTCTGGAAATAGCCAGTTACTGGGGGTGCGTAATTTTGATCGAGTGGAATCGGCGTTGCATTCAGAGTTGGAAGCACTGCGGTGGGCAATGGAGAACATGCTTCAATATTCGCCATGTCAGAGCTTTGGAACTGATTGTAAGGAGATGATCGAAATGCTCAGGAATCCTCAGGCATGGCCTAGCTTCTCAACAGAGGTGGAAAAATTGATGACGCTGAAGATCTGTTTTCCAGACTTCAAGATCTCTTATGTTCCTAGACTTCAAAATGGCGCTTCTGATTCTTTAGCTAAGTTAGCTAGGTCCTTTTATCGTAAGCTTTTGTATGTTGGTTGTTCTGTTCCGGTCTGGTTACCCATACCACCTCAAGTCGTTTGAGTAATAGAACAGCCGTTTGACGTCAAAAAAAAAAATAAAAAAATACAATAGACAATTTTGATATTGTTCTTTTAACATAATATCGAATTGAACAAACTAAATTATTTAGAATACATCTAAAAAATAAAATCTACGCGGGTGCGTGGATCATGGTCTAGTTTATTATTAATCTGTTATCAGTTGTATATTATTTTCAACTTATTTGTTCGTGTATGAATATGATACAATACGAATGCAAAATAGAATAGACATTTTATTTATACAATTTAAAGAGGATATGTACTATTGCCTTTTATATTGTAGATAACGTATTAGGGCCACCTCCATCGTTGCTTCCCCTATCTCTCTCCTATGTGAATTGTTGTTTACATCTCATCTTTGTAAGTAAGATAACGTGTCGCCTTAATGTTCATTAACAATTATATTAATCTTGCCCATATGTATGTTTTATCATCAAACAGCATCTCTTATCTTTTTCCACCGTCAACCTTGCTAGAGATTTTTATTTCACAATGAAAAGGAGATGGCTATTTTTATATGAAATTAAAATGTAAAATCGATATTATAAGGAAAACAACAAAGAATAAAAAGAAGAATAACGAGAGAATACAAGTTTACAACTATGAGAACACAGAGAGTATTACAAATGTGACTTCTACACTATCACCTCCAAGCATTGTTGTGTGTTGGTTGCGTTCAAGGTTCATGGCTATTAACACGGCTATGGAGCTCGAGCATCTCTTGATGGTTAGGGTCAACGGACAGCGCCGCACGACAGTCCCGTAACGCGCTACTTACATCCCCGGTGTGCTCGTGGAAAGCTGCCCTTAAATGAAGAAGATGAAGATCAGCTTTAAAGGCTATAGCTCGAGATAACTCCATGATAGCCTCTCTCTCCTTCCTACTATCCATCAACACTAAAGAATAAAAAAAAACAGTTTTCAGGTTAAAACATGACACAATAAAGAAACAGTAGCCGTAAGAGTTGAGTTATAAAAGTAACCTGCCGCACGGTACCGGTAAGGATAGACTCGGAGAGGGTCTAACCGAGTGACCATTTCGAGATCGGACTTGGCTAGTTCACGGTCGCAGTACTCTGATCTCTTCTCGTAAGCAGATGCGTTGTTTTGAGCCTTTTCGATGAGTCTGGTCATCTCTTCATAAGCCGCAGCTTTGTCGTTTCTAAGGAAATGGACACGAGCTAGGCCTTGGTGCGCACGTGTGTGCCTCACTTTCAAAGCGTTTATATAACAGTCCGCAGCTAAGTCTAGCTTCTCGCAGTCTACATAGACACTCCCAAGATTGTTTAGAGCCTAAAAACAACATAAGCAAAACAAGAAACTATATTCATATAAATGGCATGTAATCGCCACAGCGGCTGGTGCAACGGAAATCGTACCTGACCTTTACGCAACCTATCAGAAGGGCACTTAAGAGCGTCTTCAAGAAGCGAAACAACGGTTGAAGAACTAGATGGATCAAGACTAGATTCAGCTAAAGCATAAGCTTGGAGGAAATAAGCTTCGAATGATCTCTTTATTTTAATGGACTGTTTAGCCTTCTTAAGCCCTTCTTCACAGTGACCAGTGTCATATAAGATCCATCCTTCATACACCAGACGCTCGTGGTCACTCGAAGCGTGTTCTCTGGCTAAGTGTAAGCTACGCATGGCTGCTTCAGGACAGTTCAACCTAAGGAGAAGCAGAGATTGCCTAAAGTAAAGAACACCTTTAAAAGCATCAGCTTCAAGCATCTGATAGATCACTGAAAGAGAACCGATATCATCAACATTCGACCATTTCTCATAAAGCTGCACCCAACAGTCAGCGGTTGTCCAGTTCTCGGCATGCTCATACACCAGTGTCCGGAGCTGCCTCGCAGCTACTTTCCCATCAAACATTCTGTAGTCTGGACACAGAGTAAGAACAGCCTGGATATCTCGAAGAGCCGCTCCGTAGTCATCCATGCCGAGATAAAGACAAAACCTGATCTCCAAGCACTCTAAAGCGAGTTTAAACCTCAATATCCTGTTGATTTCCTCGAGTGCAGCCTCAGCGTTTTGTTCTGACATCAGCGTGACAGCTCGGTACATGTAAGGATAAGTCAAAGTCGGGTCAAGCTCTGTTGCTTTATCAAGATCCTCAAGCTTCTTATCACCTTCACAGTATAAAGACCTTTCTTGATACACCCATCCCAGAGGCGGTGAAACAGAGGAGATAACAGAGGTTAGCTTCTCGTAGCCCCAAAGCCGATGGCCTTTGATGTAACCTATTCTTGCTAAACCTGTAGCTGAATACACAAGGTCTAGTTTAAATGCGGTTCCGAATGCTTCTTCTGCCTCACGGTACTCTTTCCTTAACAGCCTTGTACACCCTAACCGGTGAAACCCCAATTCTCTCTGCTGATCATATTCCGCAAACTCAACTACTTTCTCCAAGAAGGCCAATGTTCGGTAGGAACAAGGATCTAAACGCATGGAGACTTCGCTTAAGCAAGAGTATAAGGAGAATGAAGCTTTTCCTGCCATGGTTGAGACTTGAGATCTGTTAACACGAGTCAGAACCTCGACAACACGTTCATCCATCAAACTATCTGGCATCTCGTAAAGAAAAACTTGCAAACACGTTGCAGCTAGGATCGGGGAGGTCTCTTCGAGTGCAAAGTCTATTATCTCAATGGCACATTCCATTGAAGAAACCAGAGAAGCTAGTTCTCTGTCGCATGCATCTTTAAGCCTCTCGCAGCAAAACTTGTTTGCAAACATTACAACTTCCAGTAAAAGATCCTTGGAGACTCCGGTCAGAACACCTGAAACGCTGAAGTCTCTGACAACACGCATAGTGTTACAGGCTCATAAGCTGTTAACACCTAAACCGGTTTATCCTATCTTTAATTTACGGTTTATGCACTTTGGTTTATTGTTATGGGTTTATCCTAAAGTTCTTTTGTCTTTATCTTGCCAGGTATGAGTCGTATGTGACCGTTGCTGATGCTCTTTATGTACCTCTTGACTGCATTTGCAGAGAATCAATCAGAATAATATTGTCTTTATCCTTATCTCTCTCTCTCTCTCTTACGCTCCCTGAGTACAATCCAAATCCATTTGGGATCTTGTTTCCTTCAAGGTGATCCTTCTTTCCCGATCATTTTCTAGGCTAGATTTCCCCTTTCTTAGGTTCTTGGTGAACTTTAGATTGGTATTTATCTCTGCTAACTTTGCTATTACATTGGTATCAGAAGTCACTATATCCTCGACCTGTGACGATGGTAGAAACCCGCCTCCAGGAGCGTTCTCTCACTGAGCAAGTCGACGAGATCCGGTCCTTACACGACCTCCTCGCCGCTGAGCTTAAGACTCGCGCTGACTCACTGGACCAACGATTTGACCGACTCGAAGCTATGCTATTCAACAACAACCTCCAGACTCAAGCTGCTGGTAAAGCCCCCGCCGACCCAAGCACCTCCCACCCCCCCCCCACCCCCCTAACCCATTCCCTACACCAACCACCCGACCCTCCAGATCTCACTGGTTACTCCGACCGTCACAACAACCGAACCCCCCCC